TTGTTTCTAAAAAGGCATGTTTAACCATGCCTGTTGAACTATTTCATCAATATGGAGCTTTATTAATTATTTCTTTTTTAAAAAATTCAATAAACATTGCAGTTAGAACACTTGACAATGTGGACTGAGAGTGTTTGGCCTGTGACAGAAAGACACCCATGTATTATTCCTTTGTGGTTGCTACAGAATGTACTAAAGTTTTGTCAGAAAGAAATCATATGGAAGTAAGATGTCTGTGAGAATGGATTCCCATGGTCAAAAACTATAGGTCAGCACTTGCATTATACCTTGCCTAATTTCAGTTATTTGTGTAAGAACCAGCGTTTGTACACCCATCCGTCTACACTGAAATTGGGTTCTAGTATAATGAAAACCAGATAATGCTGGAAGACTCATGTTTCTGTTAATGATAGCTGTGGCTATATGGCAATGATACAGTGGAGTGTATAGTTGTATGTCAGTCAAATATAAGTCCTATACAAAGCCTACTGGATTGGGTCATTCACTTGCGAGACACTTTCTACAGTCAACAGACATGTTACTACAAGTATGCTTTTAGATATAATACTTGATCAGAACAATTGTAGCTATGACTGGGCTATAATAACTCTGAGCTCTCACCTCTATCAGAATTTCTGACTACTCAATCATGACTTTTATGGTGTAAAATAAATTGATTTTGCCCTACAGGCAAGCTAGTATTCAACTGGATTTGTAAAAAATTCCACGTTTATCTTATTTGTCTTATAACCTTATCTTCTCGGGATGGAATAAAAATATCTATTTCACAACTTTACAAACTTGGAGGAATATTCAAAAGTTCCAAGCATCTTGGGGTTCATTTAATCTTATCAATGATTGAAGTGGAACCGACTGATAAATGTGTGCTTCTAACCGATACATCTCATGTAGAGGCTCTTGCAGAAGCTATGAACAGGTTAGCCCTGGAATTGGAGGAGGAGCCTACCAGACCACCACCATCATTAGCTGTCTCTCCAGCCTCAGCTAGAAACTAAAGCAGTTCACTTTGGATTTACTGAAAATTGTCGTTAGGTAAAACTAAAACATACTATATTTGGATCTATTTCAAAATATCATAAAGAAAAGTTTTATTTTCCCAAATACTTTCATTAGTAGTACCATAATGCAACTACACCATTGCATCTTTTCAATTCTAAAGTTTATTTATATTAAATATTTCATCAATAATTCTGTTGTACAACAAAAATATTATGACAGTTTTCTGTGTTAAATGGTTTTATGCAATGCTGTATCATTTTGCAGTTTTATCTATTTTTACATTTATCTTAAAAGTGAGTCTAATATAATGCAAAGAGTAAATTTTTATTTTGATCATTGCTAAAACATTTTGTACTGCTTGTTTTATCTATATGCCTTGCACTTTAAATGTTTCACATCAAATGCATAAATGATATTTGATATTGATTATTTTTTATCCGATTGAATTTTATAGTTAAGATTAAAGCTAGTCTGAGGGTGGTAAAGGAAATTGGAATGTGAAGCATGCCCGTTGTTGTTGTTGTTGTTTTCATTTTATTTAGGCAGGTGAACATTTCACCCAAAATTTTCAGAATTTATCTCCCTAACATGCCAGTGTCATAGTTATTCATTGCCATAAGTCATTCCTGGTCAACAATTCATCAAACCTTATCACAACGTTGACCGTCTAAAAGTCTTAGTCCTTCAGTCAGTTTCTGTGGAAAAATCCATTCGTCCACACAAAATAGAAAGTAGATTGATTTTCGACCATGGATCTCTACAGCCTCAAGAAATGAATATTGATTTTTCCGTCCTGTAACTTTATCCGTGTTATATTTTTTCTTTTATCAAATCTTTTTTTACGTTCAGTAGTCTGGATGTCTGTCTCATATAACCAGACAAAACTGTTGTTTCCTGTATAAACTTATACACTAGTGATGAAATCACACTCGACTGCTTTCCAAAAATTATCCTTAATATGTCGTTACAGATTCCAGAGTAAAGTTATGTATCAATAGCATTTTAGGTCTCTTTTTTTGACCACGGCAAGTACTGCACAGGAGGCTTTCAATACCAGAATATCATCTAGACTGGACTAGATGGTAGCTAAAAGTCTGTCTGAATGCTACTTCATATAACGAAAAATATAGCGATGTGGTGTTAACCGTCAGAAATTGATGAAGCAATAAAACCTAAAGGCCTAATATTAGTAATAAAAACCACTTTAGGGGAATCTAGGGGGTTTAATAATAGCCATTTTGTTCCATCGCTTCGCCAACTTTTGACGTTTAACACTGCATCTTTATCATTTATTTTTTTCCGTGTACACTCACAATATTGTTAAAAGCACAATTTACTCATTCAGTAATACTTCATAAAGTCATTTCTGAAGTAATGTGGCTAAGAATAACGGAACATGTATCTGTGAGTTATTTTAAACTACTGTTTTCTCTCTCCAGAGCACAAAGCATGAATGGAGTATTTTAAACATTTTGTAAATAAATAATCATTAGTTTTTAGAGGAGACTAGATTGCAGAATTTAAATAGTGTATTGAACTTTAACATACCTTATTATTTATAACATTTTCAATCTTTTGTATTCAGATTTTATTTTTTTTTTCATTTTATTTATAACTGACCAACTGAAATTCCTTTTCTTCTCTTGCTAGTAAAACATTTTAATTTATTGCATTTAAACTGAGCTTTCATTCTGTAAGCATAGACAACTGGTGGAAGGTATCTGATTGAAAAGTGTTAAGATAAAAATACCTTTGGTCAAACATTAATTGGGCTTTGTCACTTAATTATACTGCACTGTAGCAACAATTAGAAGCAGTCAGTCTTTGAAGTAGGCTTTTTGATATGTCAGTGTATTTTCTTTGTGCTGTTAAATGGGGGGGGGGGGGACAGAGCTCCAGCTATTTTAACAGATGTTTGATAACTAAATATGATAATATATTTGGGAAAATTTTCCATATATTTTTATTATAATTATATGTTATTATAAACATGATTTTTTCGCTTTATGATTATATAAAGTGGGGAGGGCAGTTCGTAAAACTTTCCCTGGGCGCAATAATACCTAGTTACACCACTGTGTCTGTTTGTCTGTGGGATTATTTAAATGCAGTAAGGAATAACAAGAAACCAATAGCTCTATTAATAGTAACGCAAGATTTGTCTCTTTTATTGCAGAAAATTAGAAATCTGGTTGACTAAAAATACTGAGCACTTCGAGTTGAGAAAATAGTCGGAAACTAAAATTACAGTTAATCAGGATCCTTCTTAGCTTACAATTATAGATACACATATATAAATATATATGGGGGTAAATTTAAAAAGTAATAACATTACACAATATAATGCATTATATAAAGTTTGTTCGTTTAGGAAACACGAAAAACTTCACAAGGGCTGTCAGTGTCAGCAATCCCTAATTTTGAATTAATAGAGAAAAAGAAACGCAGGTAGTCAACAGCACTCTCTGCCAGTTCTTGGGCTCTACTAGTGTAGTTGGATTTGACCGTCACTCTTATAACTCACCTATTGTCCAATAGTGCAGGGTGTGACATTGCGAATCGTGCACCTTCTGATTCATATATATATGTGCAAATATCGGGCCACGCCTAATGAGTGATATAAATATTATTGAAAATAGATTGCTTAACCTGCAACATAGTGAGAAAATAAAGTTGTATAGTTTTTGCCAGTTGTTCATAAGTCTTTTCACGAAGCTTTCATGTACAGTGACAGTATGTATAAAAATAAGGAGTTCTTAGAAGATAACAATGATTGTAGATTAACATAAAAGTCACGATTTTATACAATGGTTATAAGACTGTAGATGCTCTTAAAACACGAACTATATAAACACTAAGGCAGTAAAAGTAAAACAAATAAAAACGTGAAAGTCTTATAATGAGCTCTATATCTCAAGAGTTTGAATCACATCTTCGCAGTGGGAAAAACGTTAATACAACCTTGTATTTACTTTAATTGAAGAGGATTTGTTTTCGTTAGCTGAATATGTCATGTACCGTGACTCTGCACAACTAGAAACGCTAATTTATTAAACTTACAAAAGAGCCTATTAACTAATTATTTTATTTATGTAGATTTCTGCCCTTCTCGGGAGTGAATAGGTAATCCAATAAATCTTTTAGCTAAGTTGTACAAAGTGTAAAATTAATCTTAAGAATTTCAGTTTTATCGGAATACTAGGATCAAATCAGACGGTAACTCACTAGCAGCTGTTGTACGATTAGATAGTCAAACAGTTATTCTATATGACTAATTAAAGGAATGCCTAGCCACCCTCGTGTCTTCAAGTGTCACTTAATTGGTTCCTTAAACTAGATTTCTTAATCTTCTCGTCACACTTAACACAACCTACAATAAGAGCTAATTGCTTTAAAGAAATTGAAAATAGATTGATTCAAGTTGCTATCATATTTAAGTTATCTTATTTTCTGGTGTTTTAATATAAATCTTAATGCATGTATGTCATTAGCCACTCCAAATAATGCCCTGTTGTTTTCAGATAGTAAAATGTACAACTCATGAAGTGTCCTTTAAGTTCACACAGTGATTTATAGAACGTTTTCTTTGAGCAGTATGTTGAAATGAACACTTGCTGCCTGTTTTTCCTAGACATGTCCGTAGCTATAATTGTTTCATTTATACATACAAAGCTGTGTCTTGGAACCTTTAGTTTTTGTTTGTTTTTTTTTTATTTTTATTGAAGTTGAATTGCGCTAAAATTAACATAATTATGTGTTGAAATTTTAAACTTAAGATTTTATACATACTGAAGAGCTTTAAATACAATGATGAGAATGAAGAGGACGAGAGATGTTTCAAAAGTAGTTTCTCTAATTTCAAATATGGTAATAATTTGTTCCATTTACTGTGGTTTTTCACACATTGCACCATTACACTCGATATCGTTTTCTTTTTATCATTATTAGTGTGATATATTTGAGAGATTTATTTTTAATAGGAATGAAGCCTCGAGTAAAGGACCACTATCATGCTCACCAACTGTCATTTTGGTTAAATCTGCTCCCAGCATTAAATAGAACAAGTTCTGAAGATATTAATTTCGAGCACCATAGGCTCCATGATTACAATAACCATTTATCTTACGATGGAATCATTCGTGGTCATAATTCCTATTCCAGTCAAGTTCTCACTACCGTCTACTCGACCAAAGAAGATAATATTCCCACGGATATCAATGAAAATAGTTCGGGTTTCGAGGTCAAGTCGAACATGGAAGTAACTTCTCGATCTGTAGTGGAGAATAACGTGATCGTCACTAGCTCAACAAATAACACAGAATCACAAAATGTCGTGTATCAAGAAGGAATATACTCCACAACACTCAGCGTGACCATCGCTGTAGGGTGCTCGCTTTTAATCTTGAATGTTTTAATCTTTGCTGGGGTTTATTATCAGAAGGACAAAAAGCGAGATTTCAAGGTGGACAAAAGAATATACGAGGTAAACTATAAAAATACGATACGACGATAATACATAGTAATAACAGCTTTTGAAGACTTAGCTTTTTCCAAAAAAAAAAGAATAAAAATTCCATATATCCCTATTTTTCATTAGGATAAAATTAATAAATTCTCATGTGTTCCTGTAGCATTAGATATTTTCTCACTGTAGTAGAAGTCATTATAATTAAGTAATAATAAAATTAAGTTGATTAACAAAAAACATATATATATATATATTACACATTTAGCACCTTACTGATATCCTCGTGATATCTTGTATCAAGAGAACCTAACAAGAGAATCAAAACAAGAAATTTGAGTTTAAAGTTCATATTCTTACAGCAACCAGAATGCGGTGATGATGACCCATTGCCAAAATTAAACCAAATGAAAATGGAACTAATGCATACCAGAGCCCATTCTTCCACCATACCGTCCACTCATCCGCAAGAACTGTGTTTTCAACTCCCCCTTTCTTCTATACCTGTCCATACTGTTCCCTATTCCACCGACCAAGAGAAAACTCCTCCTCCAGAAGGCCAGCCGCTCTTGTCACATAGCTTTCGAGGACCAACGACTGTTCGAGCTAGCCAGGAGATGAGGGTGTGAGTAGGTGTCTGTTAATGAGTATAAGCATGATTCGGTTTCAAAATAAGAATTAAAACAGTTGTTCTATTTCGAGATGAGGGGTTGAGAATGAATCTGTTAATGAGTATAAATGATCGCAGTTCTGGTCCAGAACACTAACTAGAACAATTATTGTGATTAGGAACTAGCTGAGGATAATGGTAGAATTTGTAAGCTTTAATATACATCTATGACTGTTTTTTCTGGTGTTTTTTTTTTTTGCACTGGTGTGAACAGATAGATTTATGAAAGAAAGCACAGCTCTAGTTGAGATTAGTCTCTATGATATATTTTCTGTTCAACATTACTCAGAATGTGAAGATAACTGGTGTCACTGTATGAGTATAATTACCTTTCTAATTGTGATTTGTCCTTGCTATATTGTTGTTTCAAACTAGCAAAAGATATGAGTATTGGTAGATGTTACTTCAAAAGCGATGGTTCTTAACATGAAGTAAGGATGTAACTTGTAAGTAACATTCAGTTGATGATTGTAAACTATATTCTTATTCAGATTTGACATTACGTTGTTACATGTTATTGTTGGTTTTAACTTACCCAGGTGGTAAAAATGTAAATAAATGAGCAATCATGACTATTAACGTACTTCTTATTCAGATCAGATTCTTAAACTATAGTGATACTTTGCATATTACTATTATGATATATTGTAAAATCAGGAAAATATTTCTATTTTGTAATTAATCTTCATCAAGCTGTATTAGGTTTTGTCTCAAGCTATAAATTCTTAGTAAAATATCTAAAATCACTAAAAGAATCAAGAAGAAAACTTAAGAACTTAGGAAACACAGACTTCAGAATAATAATAAAGTAATTTTCATATTTATATGACGTTTGGTTTAAGTATAATACTTAATACTACTAATAACAATTTCAACTTAACCTTTTCTTAACACTAGTTTCTTTTTTTTTTGTAAACGTGATGACTTTTGAACGTAAGTTAATGACATATATCTACAATAAAATACACAAAAATATTCATATGTATACACATTTTCAGAGATTAAGTACGTAATATTTAAACTATTTTAAAGTCTCACCACAGTCCATGTTGCCACATCCAATCATGCTCTTTCTGGCGACCATGCACCTTGACAATAGCCCTGCAACATACTTTTCCATTACAAAATTCTCCGTCGTAAAGTTTTCACAGCACATCCTACCCGATGCTTTCCCTATTTCACTTAGTGGATGATAACTATAGATTCCCAGCGCCTGTATGAACAGTCAGATCGCACAGAAATCCATAGGCGGTGCGTTCGGCCACTTGGCCAGTATTTCTTCGTACTGAATAACACGAATACCCGTTTCATTCTCCAGCTGCTTGAGGTATTCGGCAGTTGAACTGATATGTCGTGGATGCAGCTTGTTTCGCTTTTCCGGATGGAAATGTTTCTATTATGTTGGACAATGTTGCCTGGGGCAAGTAGACGGCTTTTGCTACTGACCTTTCTGTTCGTGGATTCTCACTTAACATAACACTCCGTACTATGCTTACCACAGCTGAGGTATGCTTTGTTGCAGGACTCCTTATGGTTGTTTCTGTGCCACAAGCTTATCAATTTTCTTTTGTTTTCCAGTGTCATTAAGTATAATCAATATCCTTGTCTTGGGAATTCTAAATCTCCGATCTGAACACATATTCATGATCTGAGTGTATGGATACTTTACATCGGAAAAAGTTGTAACATATCTTTCTAAAAGTGATCAATGTTCAGTGTCATCCCACTATGTACAAAACAATGTTAAGATTTATTTCTGGTTCACTTTATTCCACCGCGACTTTATATTTGCTGTTGTTGTCACGTAACTTGCTGATTTGTATATTCCAAATCGTTTTATTATAATGTGCTAAACTCTGTATATGAAATACAGTTTGATAAAGAAGTGGAGCTATTTTTGGATTATAGCCAGAGTTCTGATGGAACAAACTACCACTCCTTTTACAAAACAAGTCCAAATGCAGTGTGACTTCAGAGTCTGTCCTTTCCTTCTCTCTTGGGTGGCGTTTAACCCAAGTTGGCAGTCTATGCTATCAAAGACAAATTCTACATGATGTTCAATATGTCAGTGTGCATTATCATGTTAATGGAGATATATTACTTCTCTGTAGAGTTTTATAATGCTTGCAGTGCAGAATTTTACACTACGTCACAAAACAACAGAGCATTCAAGGATCCTTTAAGTGTTTTCAGAGGATCAAGTTCAACCAGCTAAGGCATGATCACACCATAATACTGTCCCCGCTAAAGTTTAACAGCACAGTAATGTCTGAAGTGTTACCCATGCTGCTCTCAAATGCATATATGTGTATATCTGAAGAAAACAACGAGTAGCTGGATTTATCCCTCATATTATGGTTATTTCTTAATCATTCTTCCATTGTTTCACGCTCAAGACACCATAATAGCTTAAATCTTATATTCACGGTTGTGATGAGTGTCTTATGGGCTGCAACCATCTGTGAAGACCAGCAACGCTGAGCTCCCTACCTGCTATCGTTGTGCTGGCTTGCATCCTTAAACTCTTGTTAAAATTCTGGATGATAGATTTAATAATAAATGTGCAATTCAATTTCAAACACGTTTTTATATTTACATAACCCAAGCAGCAGTTATTCCAAATTATAATGTCCAATGGTTTTCTAGTGCTTGATTATATTTCTCAAACTGGTAGATAGCCTGAAATGTTTTGGATATTTATGCTTTCAATGTTCCATTCAGTAACCATTCCATAAGCTCTTGTAAATAGTAACAGAGGTCCAACTGTTATTCTCTTAATCTGGTCAAGATTCATCTATATCCACTTGTACCAAAAGAAGAATATTACAAACACTGTTATGTGGGAGCCAACAACCAGTCTAAAAACCACTTATTTCAAATGCAAACAGAAGAACTGAGCATCACTGCTGCTTGGAAGCAAACCTATAGAACTAAAAAGATGTAGTCTAATGAGAGGTTTTTCGGCTTTTTCTGTACTGGCGGTATGATCATAATGAGGAGAAAACCACTCAACCTGTTTGTGTTTGTCCAAGATAGTTCAAACTGCTGGAGGCAATATAATGTTGTGTGGAACGTTCTAGTGGCAGGTTTCTATAATTCCTTTAGAAAGGCAAATATTACTTATAGTGTACCTGAACTTTGTTGTCGCTCACGTACACACCACAGTGTATCATTTCCACCCTAAAAATCAAGGTCTTTTCTAAGACTGTAACGAAACAATTCATCACGTTCATATTGGTTAATGCTTGAGTATCTATTGGTTCAACCTTCGCAGCGAAAGGATTACATTCTTTGTTATGTAGAAGTCTCAAGGAAGTAGCAGTCAGTGCTGAATTTGAATAATATTATATTATTTTAAATATTACTTATTGCCTAGTGTTGTTTACATTTTACATTTTTGTATAAACTATTGTTTATATAAAATTTTTACACGAATGCTTGACGTTAAAATTTGCCTGCATTTGCTCTAATATGCAATTATAGCTACATCCACGTCATATAGAATATTACATTAAAAATAGTTGCCGGCCACAATGTTTTATGTTTTGTTTATATCACTGGTTATTCATATTTGTTCGTTTTATGAGAAAACATAAAGATTAATGTAATATGCATGTCTACTTGTCTCACATATATTCAAACTGTAGCTTGATGCCCTTAAGTCCAAAATATTTACTTTTAAAAGCTATATAATAGCTTACAACCATGTAATTATTTCACAAAGTAGAAAGTTTCAGGTATAATTACATAACATCAGATAATAGTGGCTTCACTAGATAAGTCGAAATTGTCATACACATACTACTATGGGGTAAACAAAGTGGGGTACACAGTCTTATTAAGCAACTTACTATCCAGTAAACACACACATGGAATTATAAAAGCTGTTATTAATAATAATGTTAATACTCATACATATAACTTAGGCAAAGATAAAAATATGTGCATATATATGTATGTAGATTTTGTTAAACAAGACCGATGTCTGTAGGTTTACTTTCTTCTTAGAATTATTCTCAAGAAGTCGATAAGCCGTCTTAACGTTGTTAGAACAAAGGGTAAAAGTTGTGGATAGTGATGAGTTGGCCGATGCGTTTCGAATGCGTTCTGCATCCATTATCAAGGCTGAATGTTGTGTGAATTGTGATTACTGTTGGTAGATATTTATAGGTATGGGTAAGCAGGTGGTGGTATCTAGCTCGTGGAAGGCGTTAATTGGTGGAGTGTTGTATTGTGGCTTGGGGGTTTCTCGCCAAGAAGTAGCAGTGTGCGTGCTGTTCCTGTCGATTGTTTGTTGATTATGGGAGTTTACTGTAGGATTTTTATTGCTTCGTGTAGTTGAAGAGTTGTGAAGTCGTTAAATCGGCGGTTTACTTTAGTGTTTTGTACTAGGTCCTGACGTGTGAGTTTTTGGTTGTGGATGCGGGCACAATGTTCTTTGATGGCTCCATTTTGTAGATGCATTGTTAGGCGTCTTGACAGGGTTGTGTTAGTCATTCAGATGTAGGAGACGTTTGCCAGGAGCTCGCAGTCTCCTTTATTACACTTGTACTCGTAAATGACGTTCACTTGCTGTAGATCTGTTGTCTTTTTAGCAGGGCAAGTTTAGCCTGTCAGTTCAGAATGAAAGAATACTATGTGGTGATAGCCCCCTGTCCAACTTTGGGCTAAAATTCTGAAACAAACCTTTGAAATAAGTCTGTTCTAATTTTTCTGTAATATTTGTACATCCTTTTATTTCTTTATTATATAATCGGATATTTTTGTAAACATTTCCTGTTTGGAATATGCGCTACTCTAAACGTCTAGGAAAAATGTTTTTTATTATTACCGACGTTCTCTCGTGTTTAATTAACCTGCTGTTTTCAATACATTGTTCAGACGAGTAATGTACTAACTTAGAAAGAGTAAGCCGTTAAATATGTGTTTACAACGAGCTATATAATTTTTTTTAA